ATTTATGTCTATAATACATTTTAAGTTCATTTTTGTATGTGGTATGAGTTCATTTATTTTTTTCCATATAAATAAAAAGGATAGACAATCTCCTGGGTGATTTCCTGCCTCTAAAAGCTGCTCGAGGACCATTTATGGGTTGGTTCTAACTCAACAGTATGCCACCACCACCACGTGAATATCTAGTTCTTTACCTCTGGTGGAAAAAAATCCTTTTTCCTTCATTGCATTATCTTGGTATTTTTGTAAAAAAACAAAAACCTCACCACTAATGTTTTCTGGAAACAAAGGTTTTCTTAGAAAGGATTTTAATGATAAATCAGATGTCTTTAACTTGTTTTATCCTACCTCTCAAGAACTCAGGTGGCACAATGATTAAGAGCTTGACTGCTGACTATTTGAACCCACCAACTGCTTTCATGAAGATTATAGTCTTTGAAACCTTATGGGGCAGTTCTACTTGGTCTTTAGAGTCCCTATAATCAGAACTGGCTTGATGGCAGTGAGTTTTGGTTTGGTGTACACTGAGAGAGGGAAAGGAAAGAGAAATGCCAACCTGGGAGACAGAGTTATACAAGGGGGTACTGGTAACTGAGGAATCCTTTATTTTCTTAATTATTTGTAAGGTATATATAAAATAACATTATTTTTATAATACCTGTCTTCTTGATAAGTGACTTAAGTAACCCATAAGTAGTCAATCATTCCCAAAGCCCCATTTCTGCATGGGGCTATGTCTTGCCTTGTGTCAAAACTGACCAAAGAAGTGCTCGCTTCGGCAGCACATATACTAAAATTGGAACGATACAGAGAAGATTAGCATGGCCCCTGCGCAAGGATGACACGCAAATTCGTGAAGCATTCCATAAAAAAACAAAAAACAAAAAAAAAAAACAAAACAAACCTGACCAAAAGAAAAAAATAAAAAAAAAATTAAAAAAAAACTGACCAAAGGCTATAGGGCATTAAAATTCTATTGGGTCATGGATTTACACAGCCCACAGCCAGATGGGAGCCAAAGCTGCTGCAGCGATTTTACACAATAGATCTGAAAAAACACTGAATAGGCCAGGATGCTAAGAAACACTGCTCCAATTCTCAGTGCCACATTTTTGTTCAGGGAAACCATTTAACTTTGTTTCCAATTCCAAACTAAAAGGGTCAGAGTAATTGGAAGAATCTCTAGTTTCAGGTCATGTATGGAAATCTTAGTTGAGTAGGGCTGATACAGAAAAGCAACTGTATATTACAGCCAGACCCCTTTTTGGAGTTTGGGAAATCTGGAAGTATGGTTTATGAACTCACAATCAGTGAAGGGGTAAGTAACAAGTTTGGACAAGGAACATCACATTTTCTAAAGAATCTGGGCAAGATTTAGTCAAGAAGTGTAACAACACAGAGCTCTTGCATCAGGCTTGAAGAACACAAGGGGGTTTGGGTTTTATCTTTTAGAGATGATAGATAGATAGATAGATAGATAGATAGATAGATAGATAGATAGATAGATAGATAGATAGATAGACAGACACTCTTTCAAACAAATGACAGACCTTCATGGCAGAACTAGGTTTGATTCAAAGGGTTTATTTAGTCCTAGGAGTCAAAGTACCACTCATCATCCAATATAACTTTCTGAAATTATAAAATTATTAAAATATTCTGTACCTCTGCTGTTCAATACAAAAGCTGGTTTTGTTGTTATTGTGTGCTGTCAAGTTGTTTGTGACTCATAGCAACCCTATGTACAACAGCTCTGAATCCTGCTCTATCTTGAGCCAATCTTATTGTCTCTGACACACCTACCCCCATGACTCCAGTCACTGGGTTTTCATCTCTTGAAAGATGATGTCCCACTCCAAGGACTGGTCCCTCCTTGCAACGTGTCCAAAGTATGTCAAACAGAGCTTCAAAATCCTTGCCTCCAAAGAGCAGCCTGGTTTAACCATCTGGCTTAACCAAATAGGATGAACCTATTTGTTCTCTTAGCAGTCCACTGTATATTGAATACTCCTCTCCAGCACCACAACTTTCCCAATACAGTTAATCTTTTGATTTCCTGGCTGCTGGTACTAAGAGTGTTGATTGTGAAGCCAAGCAAAATGAAGCTGTTGACAATCTCAGTCCTCTGTCTGTCATGATGCTGTCAATTGGCCCAGTGGTAATAGTGCAACAATGAATGAATGAAAACCCAAAATCTCTGTAAATGTTCATTAAAACTAATAAAATTTAATAATAATTAAAAAGAAAGAAAGAAAAAAAATTGACCCAGTGGTGAGAATCTTTGTTTTCTTGATGTTGAACTTCAATCCATATTTAAGGCTACAGTCCCTGACCTTCTGCAGCAAATGCTTCAGGTCCTTCTCAGTTTCAGGAAGCAGGGTTCTGTCATGTGCATAATGCAAGCTGTTGATCAGTTTTATAAATATGGTGTGCAACAACTATGAGTTATCAACTCACCCCAGTAAGAACAGCAAAATTTAACAGAACAGCAAGCAACAAATGCTGGTGAGGTTATGGAGAAACTGGAACCCTTGTTCACTGTTGGTGGAAATATAAAATGGTGCAACCACTGTGGAAGGCGGTGTTGCGCTTTCTCAAAAAGTTGCAAATAGAGACACCCTTTGACCCAACAATTCCACTACTGGGAATATACCCCAAAGAGACCATAATTGCCACCCAAGCAGATATATGCACACCCATGTTTATTGTGGCTTTGTTCACAATAGCAAGGAGTTGGAAACAACCTAAGGGGCCATCAACAAACGAATGGATATAGAAGCGGTGGTATATTCACACAATGGAATACTATGCTGCATTGAAAAACAAGGAACTCATGAAATAGTATTCAAAATAGGTGACCCTGGAGGACATTATGCTGAGTGAAGTATCTCAGTCACAAAAGGACAAATACTGCATAGCAGGACTGACATCCATGCTGGGGGAAGACTGAGAAAGATGGTATAAATAATGTATACTGCATTGAAACAGATGAGGGAGAAAACTGTTTAAAAGGGATATGTGATTAGGTATTTTTGTCATGACAGGAGTCCAGAGCGAAGGCTGTATAGTGCAGTGGACCTGGGGGGAGGGATTGTAAAACAATGAAAGAATTTTTCCTCCACTTTTCAAAGAGAAGAGTGTACAGGGTAGGGGAAGGGTGGGCAGGGAGAAAAGTACAACAATGAATGAATGGAAATCCAGTCTCTGTAAATTTTCATTAAAGTTAATAATAATAAAAAAAGAAATTTTTTAAAAATCACACTTTAATACACAGTGGGGGGAGAGAAGAAGAAATATGGTGTGCATGATAGAGGAATCAAGGTATTTTTATTTCATTTTAAATTTAAACATGACTTCTTGTTATTGTTCTGTTAAGTTCAAACCAACTCATAGCTGACCATCCAGTTGATTTTCAGGGACAGTAAATGGCATGGGAGGAGACCACCCAACCTTCCTTGTGGAGTAGTTGGTGGCTTGCCTTTGGGTTGGCTGTAAGACTCCTTACCCCTAACCTACCAGAGCTCTCTAAATATGGCCAATGGCTACCATATTGGATGTTGTTGTTGTTATGTGCCGTTGAGTTGCTTCCATCACAAGCTTCCCAAGTGTGGTTAATCTAAATTAACTCTAGAAAATATGTGAATTCCTGATAGTGACTTAGCTTCTAATGGAAACATTACATTATTTTTGTAACTATTTTTTTAAAAAACTTTCATTACATAGTTTGTGTGGTTGTACTAAAAATAAAAACATTTTACTTTGCTATTCAATATGGTACATTGAGAGTACCATGGACTGCTAGGAAAACAAACAGATTCATCCTGGAAAGGTTTAAACCAGGTGGCTCCTTGGAGGCAAGGATTCTGAAGCTCTGCCTGACATACTTTGAGCATACTGCAAGGAGGGACCAGTCCTTGGAGAAGAACATCATGCTTGGGAGCGTAGAGGGACAGCACATGAGGAAAGACTCTTGATGAGATGGACTGATTCAGTGACTGGCATAATGGGGGTAGGTGTGTCAGAGACAATAAGATTGGCACATGATAGAGTAGGGTTTAGGGTTGTTGTACATAGGGTCATTATGAATCGCAAGCAACTTGATTGCACTTAACAACACAATTTTTAAAAAATGAGAGGCGATTTAGTACCAAAATAGGTTTAATGGTTATTTGACACAAAAAAGTGAGAAACTTGCACATAGTCAAAATAGGAAAGATTCCATACAAGTTGCCTTCCCTTTACCCTAGAAAGTATAGTAACTATGGGCAGAAAGAATGGAGTCAATCTTTGACATAATGCTGCTGTTAGTTTGTAGAGTCAGCTCCAACTCATAGTAACTTTATGTACTGTAAGAAGCCCAGAGCCTCTACTTTGTTAGGAGAATGCACAAGATTTTTTTAAAGTAAATGAAGTAAAAATAAAGTAATACTGAGTTATTGATGCCTATAACAGTATTGCTCATCTATAAGATTGTGATATTTATTTAGTAATCCCAAAGTAAAGATAATATACCTAAAAGGAGAAAAAGACAATTTTCTGGTACCAATTTTTTAAAACTATGGTAAGTTGACAAGAATTTAACCAACTCCCTGAAACCAGCCTAAAATTCAAATAAGAACTCAAAAAACCTGAAGTGAAAAAGTATAGATTCTCCCTGACACTAAATCCAAGATTTTTCCCTTCTTCAAATCCTCCTCTAAACCTCAATAATGAAGAAGGTGGGGGTAGGGGGACCAAAAACACCTCAGTCTGGCCACTGGGAGCATTTCTGCACAGTGAAATAATCAGAAATCTTCCTCCATTATTTAATTTATTCATTCCAATCCTAATCCTGGATGTAAGAGCAGGCAAAAGGATATAATTTTCTCCAAAACCTGTGACTGAGCCATGACTACTAAGATTACTTCAGAAACTTAAGCCCTTTGTTATACACTCAAAAGGACAGTTCTGATGTTAGGGGAAATGAACCCCCTTTACTGTCATAAGAATATATTGCTTTTCTAAGGAAGAATTAGAGGAGGATTTATCCAGGAATCAGTCTTCTCCAAAGCTGGACAGGGAGGAAGTGTGGAAAGCACAGTTTTTCTTGAAGGATGGAAGGTGTCACTTGGAGACATTGAAACATCTTGTTTTGTGCATTTTAAATCTTTCTCCTTTTCCATCATCAATAACTGCTCTATTTCATCTTTCAAAGATAAATTTCTCTGAAACACAAGTTTGGGTTTATTAAAGTATTCTTCTTGAGTTGTCCTCTGGTTCTCTGATCCCTTGGACCCAGAGCAAACAAGTTTGTGATTAGAATCCTCACTGGCTTCTGTTTCTTTTAAGGAAGGTAGATGCTGAGGGTTTATTTTCTTTTGTTTACTCTTTAGTCCTCTTTTCAATAAACTCACATCCTCCTGGGATCTACAAGATGTAAGACTTGGAGTTTTATCCACCCTAGAGTTTTCACAAAGTAAGAAACCTTTGACTTCTTCCTCTTTTCCTGCTGTTTTTATCAATGGTTTTGTTGACTGGAGCACTGTCCTTTCGAGAAGTCCCTGTGCATTCACCCTATACTCTTTTTCAGCTCTCTCCCTGCGCTGCTTCTGTAAGTCCTTCAGTTGAAGCAGTTCCTCTGGAAGCTCCATACATGTAGGCTAGGAAAAGGAAATAGACACAAGAGTACTACAGCTAAACTTCTTAATATGGTACTTAAAGTCACTTAATAAATTTAACAGTATTTGGCAAGTGAGGGTCAATTCAAATGTGTTCACATAGCACCCTCTAGTGTCCTCAGCTATTATTGTTAGTTTCCAGGGAGTAATTCCAACTCATGACTCTTTTTATGTGTAGAAAATTGCTCTGTAAGGTTTTGAAGACTATGATGCTTCAGAAGCTGCTCACTACACCTGTCCTCTAAGGCACCACTGGCTGGGTACCAATCTTTCTTCTAGTAATTAAGCTCCTAACTATTTGCTCCATCATAATAGCAATATTTTTCAAGTGACTTAAATATTTTGAAAGGCAATTAATCCACACAGCTGTGTGTACACCAGCATACATGTGAAGATTATTTAGAGGAAAGGCAGTCTCTCTCTCTCTCTCTCTCAACCTAGCCCCAGCTGCCTTACCAGATGCATGTGCTAAAAGCAGTTTCTTAGATAATTTATGCATATATGATCATATATATCCCTTAATAAATATTTATTTCTTCATTGGATTACATCTTTAAAGTCTTTATTTTCTCTCAGCTTATAATTTTGATAACTCTTTCTAAAATACTTCTTTACAAATGATAAACATGATACTTTTGCATCTGGACTTCTATAATTAAAAAAATGTTAGGAAGCTTTCTCTAAATTAGTACTTTAAAAGGGCTGTATGGATTTATCACAATTTATTTAAACACATTCTTACTTGCAGATATTTGAATAATTTACAGTTTTTTCTAGTTAGATATAAGAAAGACTTAGGAAAATGTCCTTTTGTTATTTGCCCTATTTCGTTACTACAAAAATGAGAAAAATCATTTTCCCTCATTTGTCTTTTAGTTTAGTTCACTGTATGTTTGTTGTGCAAAATTTTAGCCCTGTTCATTAATATTCTCTTATTTGGATTTTGAATTGTTAGATTAAATAGAAAATTTGTACATACTGTGAGTTGTTTGAATTTTACATTTTTTCCTAACAATCATAAAATTTCATTTTTTTACATAAATAACTTATCTGTCCAGAAGTTGGTATAGTGCAAAAGACAGGATTCTCCTCCCCTAAAAAATTACCATCTGCCCAGTTTATTTCATAATTACCTTTTATCATTCATCAAAAATGCTACTTTTATCATAATTATAGAAGCAGGATATATATTGGATCTATTTCTAACTTCTCTATTTCAATCTATGCATATACCAATCCCAAACTGTTTTAATTATTGCAGTCTTAGGTTTTATTATCTGCCAGAATTTATCCTCTCATAAAATTTCTTTCCCAAAATTTCTAGACAACTATTGCATATTTTTAATCTTTTTAAAGTCTATCATTTCAGAGTGCTGATAACAGAATCCAAAGGCTAAGCCTCTCTGGGGTTCAAAGACACAGTGGCTCCATGGGAGAAAGATGGACAATCTCCTTCCATGAGCTATATAGCTTCAGAAACACAGTGGAGGGTCAGGTGTGAATCAGTTCTGACTTGATGGCAATAAGTGAGTTTTTAATAATTATATAATGATAGTGTCAACACTTTTCAGAAAAAGAGTTAAATTCATTAATTAACTTGGACATATGTTATAACTAAAATCTGTAATGTTTCTATTAATCTATTAGGGAGCTCTTGTGGCCTAGTGAATAGTTGTGTTGCCATTATAAAGGCAGGTAGTTAAAATACAACAGCTGCTCCATGGTAGAAAGATGAGCAATTTCCTACCATGAAATTTACTGCCTCTGAAAACCCGTAGGGTCAGTTCTGAGTGGGCTACAATTTAATCATAATAGGTTGTTTGTTCTGTTCAACTATGTAGTCTGTCTTTTATATCTTTTATATCTTTCAGCGACATTTTAACATTTTTTTCCTCTGTATGTTTCACCAGGCAGTGTTTCCTTGCTCTGTTCTGACGACTGCTTCCTGGTCCAAGTATAAGTTTCGCATAAGCACAATCAAGTGTTCTGGGATTCCCATTCTTCTCAGAATCCACCACAGTTTGTTGTGACCCACACAGTCAAATGTCTTTGCAATAGTCAATGAAACACTGATAGACATTCCTCTAGTACTCTCTGCTTTCAACCAAGATCCATCTGACATTAGCTATAATATCCCTAGTGACATGGCCTCCTCTAAATCCCGCCTGCACTTAGGCAGTTATCTGTTGACGTGCTGTTCCAGTCGTTTTTGGATAATCTTCAGCAAAATCTTGCTTACATGTGATATCAATGATACAGTTCAATAATTTCCACACTCTGTTGAATCACCTTTCTTTGGAATGGGAACAAATATAGATCTCTTCCAATCAGAGGCCAGGTAATTGTCCTCCAGATTTCTTGGCACAACTTGGTGACCACATCAAGGGCAGCATCTGTTGAAATATATCAATCAGTATGCCATCAATTCCTGGGGCCTTGTTTTTGCCAATTCTTTCAGAGCAGCTTGAACTTCCTCCTTCATCACCACAGGCTCTTGCTCATAAGTTGTTTTGTTCAATTCTTCTGTGTCCACCAATTTCTTTTGGTACAATGACTCTGTATACTCTTTCCATCTTCTTTTAATGCTTCATGGATCACTCTTGGTACCAGCAGCCAGGAAATTAAAAGACGAACTGCTCTGTAGAGTTGTTTCTAGTAACTTTCACTATCTTTCTTAGCTAGTTATAAACTCAGAACCCAAATTCATTTGCTTGCTATCCCTCCAGCAAGTTTTCAGGAGGTTATAAATTTCATGGGAAGAGCTTGCCCATCTTTTTCCTGAGATGCCACTGGTGGATTTGAACTGCCAGAGTGGCATCACCTTTGGGTTAGTAGCACAATCCATTATAGAAGAGGCCGCCAGGGTTATGTTGTTGTTAGGTGCTATCAAGTTGAGTACAACTCATAGCGACAGCATAAAAACACTATGAAAAACCAATCCTTGCAATCTCTGACACACCCACGCTCATTGCTGCAGTTACTGTGTCATTCATCTAGCAGAGGCACTGCCTCTCTTTCGCTGCCCAAGTATGATGTTCCTGTTCTAGGGAAAAACCTCTCCAAGCAACATGCACAAAGCATGAGACAAAGCGTCATTATCTTTGCCTCCAAGGAGCTTTCTCTAGGACATATTTTTTCTTTTGGCAGCCCCTGGGATATTCAGCAGTCTTTTCCAACATCATAGTTCAAAGGCTGAATAAAAAAAAAAAAAGGCTGAATCAATTATTCTTCTGTCATCCTTATTCATTGTCCAGCTCTCAGATGAATAGCAAGTGAATAAAAAGACCATGGCCTGAATCAGGTGCACTTTAGCCCTTCCTCAAATTAAGATGATTTCTCCTCAATAAAATTTAGAAAGGCCCCTGACTACAGATTTTCCCAGTGCAATATGCCTTCTGATCTCTTGACTGATGGTACCAAGTGTTGTGGATCCAAGCAAGATGAAGTCGTTGACAGTTTCAAGCGTTTCTCTGTCCATCATGATGTTGCCTGTCAGAACAGTGGTTAAGGATTTTTGTTTATTTGATCTTGAGATGCAATCTATATTGAAGGTCACAGTGCTTAACAGTTGCGCAGAAGGGCTTCAAATCTTCTTCACTTCCAGCAACATTTTCTTCACAGGATCTAGCTTCTCAAACAATTTGCTCAGAATATAGATGTAATAGATATGGAGAGAGGATACAACCCTGATATATACTTTTCCTGATTTTAATCAATGTCACAGTCCCTTGCTCTGTTCTCAAAACAGCTTCTTGGTCTAGGTGTAGGTTTTGCATGATCACAATCAAGTGTTTTGGAATTCCCATTCTTCTCAATGTTATCCAAATTTGTTCTGATCCACACAGTGAAATGTCTTTGCATAGGCAATAAAGCACAAATAGACATTCTGTTTCAGCCAGGATCCATCTGATATCAGCAATGTTATCTCTGGTGCCAGAGCCTCTTCTAAATCCAGCTTGAATGTCTGCAGTTCTCTGTCTATGTGTTAACCATTTTTAAATGATTCTTGGCAGTATTTTACTTGAATGTGATATTAATTATATTATTCAATAAATTCCACATTCTGTTGGATCACCTTTCTTAGAAATGGGAACAAACATTGATCTATTCCAGTCAGTTTGTCAGGTAGTAGTTTTCTGGCACAGACTGGGGAGCACGTCCAGGACTGCATCTGCCAACTGAAACATTTCAATTGGTATCCCATCTATTCCTGGGACCTTATTGTTGCCAATGCCTAATTTCTTCCTTCACTGTCACTGGTTCTTGATCATATGGTACTTCCTTAAATGTTTTAGTGTCATGCAATTCTTTCTGATACAGTGATTCTTTGTATTCCTTCCATCTTCTTTTGATGTTTCCTGGATCACTCAAGATTTTGTCCATAGTATCCCTAAATATTGCAACTTGAGGCTTGAATTTGTTTTTCAGTTCCTTCAGTTTGAGAAAAGTCAAGTGAATTTTTCCCTTTTTATTCTCCAATTCTGGGTCTCTGCACATTGTTATAGTAGTTTGCTTTGTTTTCAAGCTGCCCTTTTAAATCTTCTGTCAGCTGTTTTATTTCAGAATCTCTTCCCTTTCTTTTGGCTTGTCAATACCGCAGTGCAATTTCCAGGGTCTCTTTTGACATGTATTTTGGTTTTTTGGCAGTCCATGGTATAGTCAATATTACTTGTCAATCTCATAATTCAAATACCTAGTCTATCTTTTTACATCAAATTCCTGTTCTGTCTTGCTTTCTCATGCATATGAACGTAAGTTGCAGTTAATGTAATTAACTGTTTTTCTTTGCTTTTTAATATTTTAAAAAGTTTTTGGCAGCAGATTTGTCAAATACCACATCATCTGATTTCTTGACTACTGCTTTTATGGGTGTAGATTATTGATCCAAGTAGAATGAAATCCTTGACAACTTTAATCTTTTTCTCTATTGGTTCATCTTTTTTGTTTGTTTTTTTTTTTAACTTTCCAAAAATACAAAAACTATTCACAGTTAATGAGCTATAACAAAAATAGATTGTGGGCCAAATTGGGCCTGTGGGCAGTAGTTTTGCCAAATTGTGGTGTATAATTTTCTTACATTGTACTGACTTCATAAAAATAATAACGAATATCTATTCTTTGCTAATAAGTTAGTGGAAATATAAAAATATTAGTGAATGAAATAGGTCAAGGGAATTGATAAACCCAAACTATAGACTTTCAAATGTTTATCCCCAGCTTTTGCCCTAAGATGTTCACCACGATTGTGAAAATTGTCTATCATGGTGATTGCCCATGAGAAATCAGACAAACAGTATTCTTGAAGACACATCTAAAAGGGAAATACACCCACCTCCATGCTTCCAAGCTGGTCTCCAGACGCTTCTCGACAGGTGTTTAAGTACCTATCTACCAGCATGGTTAAGTCAGACATCATTTCATCTAGGAGTACCAAGCGAAGGGGTAGCAGGTAGGTAGCTTCTAGGGCCAAAGTTTTCAACAAAGTAGGTGAAAGTGGTCGTGTGAACCACACCTCTGGATTTTCCTAGAGACAACAAAATAATTTTCTCTGAATGTCGTTATTGCTATGAACTGTGGAGTCAACAACGCATAGTAACCCTAAGAACAATGGCTCTACACCTTGTCCTATATCTTGAGCTAACCCACCATCTCTGATACACCTGACCCCATTGCCACAATCACTGTCAATTCTTTTCATCCAAGGTCTTCCTCTTCTACAGTGAGAAGCATGATGTCCTTCCAAGCATAATATCCTTCTCCAAAAACTGGTCCCTCCAGGTGACACACCCAAAGTACGTGAGACGGAGTTTCAAAATCCTTGCCTCCAAGAAGCAAACTGGTTTCACCTTCTCTAAGACAGACCTTTGGAAGGAGGAGTGGCATCCACTTCCATAATAGCTTGCCTCCGGAAACCCTACGAACCTGGAGAGAGGATGAAAGGCAACCAAGCGTTGAGGACTCTCCTTCATAGGGTCGCTATGAGTCGCCTGTGACTCGACAGCACTTAACAACAACAACAAGACAGACCTATTTGTTCTCTTGGCAGTCCACGGTGTATGTTCAATACTCCTCCAGCACTACAACTCAAAGGCATCTATTCTTCTCTGTGATCTTTGTCCAGCTCTCAGATGCATAGCAAGCAACTGAGAAGAACATTGCCTGGATCAGCCACACATAAGTCTCTAGACTGACATTGTTGTTGCTCTTTAGTATTCTGGAGAGGTCCCTGATGGCAGATTTCCCTAATGCAATTAGTCTTTTGTTTTCCTTATTGCTGGTGTCAGTAATGTTGCTTAAGGAGCGAAGTGAACTGAAATTGTTCCTTGACAGCAAGTGTCACTTAATTTAAAATGTTATTATTTTCTTCCAATTATTACCTTCTACTTTTACACTAGAGGGCTATTTCTGGGCTGGGAAGATGAGCTGAACAGCAGCTTTCAGGTGTTTTCTGGTTTGGGGTTGAAAATAGAGTGTGGCTATTGTACACAATAGGGTGTGAGCTGACTGGATTTGGCCTCATATTTAAAAAGACTTTTGGGTCCACAGGCCTGTGGCCCTCAATCTCCTGAATAAAACAGGCTTGGAAGCAGGAGTGGCATCCACTTCCAAAAAAAGCTTGCCTCCAGAAACTCTGTGAACTTGGAGAAAAGATGAAAGTTTTGTGTTCAAGACTTCCGTTCACAGAATCACTATGGGTTGTCTACAACTCTACAACACTTGACAACAACACAACTCTTTCTTAGAACACACACGTATAGATATTCAGTCCGTGTCTGTGTTAGAGGGAGACAAACACACTTCTAATTCCAAGTTTGAGGTGGCAGACTTGATTGTATATCATGATCTAAATTTACACAAAAGGTTATTACAATTAGGATTTCTTAGTATTTTTTTAAAAAAATATTCTGCTTTAAATAAAAAATATTCTGCTTTACTTTGAGAGAACCCAATATCACATGAAAATCCTTCCCTTTCCCAACTTGAAATTTCATTTCAAAATCCTTTTTAATTGAGAAGCAACAAATATGAATCCTAGTTTTTATCTCTTTGAGCCACAAACAAAATGTTCTTATTTGTAAACACTAAGTTTCAGGCAATGCTCATATTCTTTTTTAAAAAATTATATTTTATTTTATTATTTCTTGTGTGTGTACTGTCAAATCAGATCTGACTCGTACTGGAGGAGATTGCCCCTCCTTCTCCAGCAGAGAATCTGGTGGATTTGAACCACGTACTTCTGGGATTGCAGTGAAGCTTCTTGCCACTAGGCCACCAGAGGTCCCTCAATTCTTATATGGCAGTTGGCCATAACAATTAATAATTCTGCTAGGAAAAGATGTGACAAGAGTGGTTGCTATACAAGGACATCCTTTAATACTCACCTGAGTCAGCTTTTGCCTCTCTTCTAGAAAGGAGACATCTTTAGAGGCTACTTTAAGATGTCGGATTAAACAATCCTGCAAAGTACTGATGCAGTTTGGAAGAAAGCCACCAGTTTCCATAGAAAATTGAAGGACATCTGCTACCTGTACATTAAAAAAAGACAAAGCAGTCCACAAGTTATACACAGAAAACTATCATGATAGAAACGGCATAATTTAGTGTCAAAAATGCCTTTCATACCATTTTCCCTAAGCAATAAGCAATGCCATCAGGAAATGTAAAGTTATTGAGTACACATTGTAGATTTGTAAGAAGAAAAAGTTGGAAATGTATGCCAAAGTTTTCATTACGTATTACACACTAAACCTAATCAAGAAGTCTAGCGGACTCAACGGACTGATTAGCAGTTCTCTTGCATTTTTGGAGTAAGCATGGAAGAAATCTCTATATAGTAGAAGATTCTGAAAGAAAGCCCTAAAAGAATATGTGAACGAAAGAAAATACAAAAAGTTCATTATGTGCAGATATTTAAGAGTAAATTTTACCCACAAAACCCAAGAGAACTCCAAAATTCAAAATCCACTGATGTTGAGTCAATTTCAACTCATAGGGCTTCCAAGATTGCAAGCCTTAACAGACGTTGTTGTTGTGTACTGTGGAGGCAGAACCAAACCATAGGGGTTGGGGGGGACAGAGAGGAAAATGTGCAACAATGAATGAATGGAAATCCAAGTTCTTTATAAACTTTCATTACAATCTTAAAAAAAAAAGTGTCAAACTGAAAAGATTTACCCACTGGAAGTGTGTTGAAATGCAATTAAATGTCTGAAAAGCTTTCCGTATGTCATTGGTGGGCATGGGCAATGACAAAGCAAAATGTTATTGCAAGTCTAAACTAAAACCAAAATTGAATCTCCCCCGTCCCGAAAAGGGGTGATAAGGATTGTCTGAGGAAGAGATGTGCAAAATGCTGGATCTCTGTGTTAGACTTAACTGCTAGCATCACATACACACTTTATATTGTGACTGTAGACATCTTAGTATTTATTTTGTAAATACCCACACTTCCTTAATGGTTGCTCCCACAGGACAAATTGAAAGCTTTCTTTCTACTTCTGTAAAGATAATTGTTTTGTTTTATATGTTAGCTTTTAATTATACTCTTAGGTTAATAGTCACTGGTTTTATTTTTAAATCAGACAATAAGTTGTTTTTAAAAACCCTTTAGGGTTAACAGTATGGAATTAAATTAATACATATTATTAAGAGCATTGAATTAGATGGAAAGCACCCTGTATTGTGCCTAATCTATACTATGTACTAGGTGCTTTGCAAAATGGAATTCTCTATGAATCCACATTTTCATTGTTGTAGTCTTTCTACTGGAGCTGCTGGTTGTCAGTATCACACAGTCTTCATCTTTTTTCAATTTAAATCACAGTGACTCTTGTCAGATAGTCCAGGTGAAGGGAATTACATCATGTTATCCCAGCACCAATACAAAATGATTTTTTTTTTAAATTGTCTAGTAGTAAAGCCAATAAAACTGAGCTAAATGTTCTTTTCTCATAAGCTTTCTGGGAAAGTCATTTATATGAATGTATATGAAATAGTCTCAAATATTTCCTGTGAACTCTATGGTCATATAATTTTTTTATATGTTTAGAGCTATTGTTCACTTTTGAAAGTTTACAAATTTCCATGTTTCTGTATATTTATCATTTGCAATAAAAGAGTGTTCAGTTAAAAAAAAAAAAGGGTCAAACCATAGTTGACCCTCTGGCAAGTTTTCAGAAGCAGTAAAATCCTCAGGAAGATATTGCCCAACTTTCTCCCAAGGAGCAGCTGGTGGATTTCAACTACATACCTTTGCACTGGCAGCACAAGATCATCTTATCCTCTTCCTATTATTCTTCCTATTTTTACTGCAAGTCACTGACTTTTCCATTAGCAAGCCAATGCTTAATGTACTTTATCGCCAGGACTCCAACTCATATGTAGGAACATAAATTGAACTTTTTTAAAATAATCACTGTTCGAAAGTACTGCTGTTGTTGTGTACTGTCGAGTTGGAACCAATCCATAGCTGATCCTCCAGCTGAATTTCAGAGGCAATTAATCGTATGGGAGGAGACGGCCCATCCTTCTCCAAGGAGCAGCTGGTAGATTCAAATTGCATGCCTTTAGGATTGCAGCTCAGATTCTCATCACTAGCCTATCAGAGCTCTCTCAAAAGTATTAGCTGTTCACATCCTGTGCCTTTTTTTCAGTTGGGTTCTTTACCTTTATCTTGATGTGGTGCTAGAGTATTTTATAAATTCTAGATGTAAGTCCCTTATCAGTCATGTCATTACCAAATCCTTTTTCCCAGTCTGTGGCTTCCCTTTTTACCCTGCTGGAGAAGGCTGAATAGTGGAGTGGACTGGGGGGGTGGGGGGGATTGTATAACAATGAAAAAAATTTTCTTTTTCTTTTCAAAGAGAAAGGCAAAATTGGGGGTAAGGGTGGGCAGGGAGAAAAGTGCAATAATGAATTAATGGAAACCCAAAATCTCTAAATTTTCATTAAAATTAATAATAATTTTAAAAAGGTATTAGCTAATTTATTAGTTTAAACATATTCCAGAGCCTCTAGGCTTATTCAGAATTCCCTACATTAGAATATACCTAGGAGATTAGAAAAATTTTTAGGAAATCTAGTGATTTTGCTGCTTTCATAGTCAAACCAGAAACTGAGATCTGCTTCAAGAGAACTATTTTTATCTATTAGGAATTTCTAATTTTCTGAAGTCTTTTATGTGAGAGATAATTTATACGAAAACCCTATTTTTTTTTCAGGCCACACTGGACCAGAACAATTTACACTCTTGAGCTAGATGCCAACTAGCTTCAATTGATACATATGTGTTTAAAGGTAGAGCTGTTCATCTTACTATAAATCTCCTGTCAGATTTGTGAGTGAACTTCAAACTGCTCTAGTTTCTGAAGACTAGCATTTAGACCATGCTCCTTCTTGGACATATTAGCAAAAATGAGGACAGGATCATTACAAATTACTTAAAACATATTTCTTCAGCATTTTTACAATTCACTTAACATTCTCAACATAAAACCGGGACAAACTTCATACAGGAGAAGGGGTCCACAAAAGGCTTTCAGTCCTTCATCAGAGAAGGTCTATTATCCATAGGAGCTAGGCGCATGAAAGAGAATTGAATGAGTTCCTGTTTGTACCTGTGTGTCAAAGACATTATTCAGCAAAATTCCATATTGGTGAGAGAGACAGTCAGAAAGCCAACGGCAGTCATGGATAACCTGAAAAATTCAAAGATGAAGGAATGTTAAGACTTGACTGCTAATCTCACTAGCAGAAGAATCAGACTGCAGATTCACCTTCAAAATTTTCTCATCTTCCAATACCATCTGAAGCCCATTGTTGAAAGCACGACTTCCCAGAAGAAAAATGTCAAACAAGTAAACACGGCTATTTGTGGCTACCTACAACAGAGAATACAGACACATAAAATTAGATATTTAAGCAGGGGTGAATCTGAGGACCAAAAAGAAAAGACATGCAGAAGCACACTTGTTGGTCCTGTAGAGCTGTCTCTTCTTTCAACAACGTTTAGAAGGAACAGACCAAGGTCTCCCCACCTTCAGCTTTGGGCTGCTGTCCAACCTCCTTTCCAATCACACTTTTGGGAGCAAATTGTCATCCAACTTCTGTTTCGAGAATCAGCTAACACCATTTTTTGTGGTGAATTCCTTTCAACCAACTAAGAATGCCCAAATCTGTCAGAATTATTCCATTGAAATAGAGGCCAGTATCAACTGCCTAGTCAAATAAATCTACAGCCTTCCTACACCTGTCTCTCTTGGCTTATTTTTCTATTATAACTATATGGTCCTAGAAGGAGTATATTACTTCTTCCAAGAGTTGGTGAAAGAAAAGTGCAAGGGTTCCCAGGATCTCTTGAAGACAGAAAAGTAGTGTGACGTCTAGTCTTCTTCCAGGACGTACAAAAGTTGTCCAAGATGAAGAGAGTAGGACTGTAAACGTCATGGAAACCATATTGTTCTGTGTAAGAGTCTGAACTCTTTTTGATCTTTAGACACTTTTAGATTTGTATGCCATGTGGGTTCTACTTTCACAGACCTCTGTCTCTGGGACTTCTGAGGAGCCATTCTTTTTTTTAGATAAGAAGGTAAAATTCATTAAGAAGGTTGGCTCCCACCTAAGCAAACTCCACAGACTGGCTGGCCTGCTCGTCTCCAAGCCAAACTGGAAAAATATCTCTTCAAGAGGCTTATCCTAAAGTATGATGACTAGGAGCTTCTAGAATTCATCAGCCTTTGGGAGACCAGTCTGCCTTTAGCTGAGATTAGCTCTCTGCTTGGGTATCTCCCCCTAGCTAACCAACAACACTAGAGCTTTCCTGAATGTTTAATTAACCTGAGATGTAGGAAAGTAAGAAGAAACAAGAAAGGTTATTTTCACAGAATAAAAACAAAAAAGACATGCAACAAAATATTTAGCACCTCATTTTTAAAGTAAAAAAATAGACATACAGACATTGTTAGGGAAAAGAAATTTAAATTATACAATAATTTCCATTTCAAGAGAAAAAGAGAAAATAAATGGGTAATTTTCTCTTTTTTTGTGGCTCTGTACTGCCAACTCAAAGGTAGGCGGTTTGAATTCACCAGATGCTTCAAGGGAGAAAAAATGAGCAATCTCCCCCCATGTGATTTATAGCCTCTGAAAACCCAGTGGAGGGTCAGTTATGAGTCAGTTCTCACTCAACAGCACATAACAACAACTTGAATGTTGAGTTAATCTTACCTATAGCATTCTTCTCAATGTTGTTGTTGTTGTTGTTATGTGCCATCGAGTCGTTTGCAACTCATAGCGATCCTATGTACAACAGCCCTAAATCCTGCTCTATCCTGTGCCAATCGCACTGCCTCTGACACACCCATCCCAATTACTGAATCAATCCATCTCATAGAGGGTCTTCCCCTCTTGCGCCGTTCCTCCACCATCCCAAGCATGATGTCCCTCTCCAAGGACCTGTCCCTCCTTCCAACATGCCCAAAGTATGTCAGACAAAGCCCCAGAATCCTTGCCTCCAAGGAGTTGCTTGGTTTAATCCTCTCCAGGATGAATCTGTTTGTTTTCTTGGCAGTCAGTCCATGGTACACTCTTCTGCAGCACCACAGCTCAAAGGCATCAATTCTCCTTCTGTCCTCCCTAGTCATTGTCCAACTCTCTGATGCATAACAAGTGATTGCAAAGACCATGGCCTATATCAGGCACACCTTAGTCTCCAGAGAGACACCATTGCTCTTGAGTACTTTAGAGAGGTCCCTAACAGCAGACTTTCCCATCACAATACGTTTTTTGATTTCCTGAGTGCTAGTGACAAGAGTGTTGACCATGGAGCCGAGCAAACTGAAGCTGTGAACAATCTCAATCTCTTCGCCATCCATCCTGATGCTACCAATTGGTCCAGTGGTGAGAATCTTAGTCAAATGCCTTTGCCTAATCAATAAAACACTCAAAGACACTCAAAATTTTTCTGCATTGTTCTAATCATTAATATCTGGCAACTGAAAATGATTTATCAACTTCTCAGTAATATATTTTATTATTAACTATTTAAGAAGGTTCTACTTTCTATTTGATCTTGCCATGATAGACTAGTTTTTGCATATAATTGTCCATACTTTTAATTACTTAGATTTTTGGCAGTGGTCCTGAGATACGATCCAAAGGAAATAAAAGACTTGATAAGAAATAGTTACTGTCTTCATCATTAGAAAATATTGTGTTGGGACAATATTTGACAGAAGATAGAAATTAAAATTAAAAGTTTTTAAAATTCTTTTATTACCTCTTTTATTACATGTAATGACTTCATCTTATATGAATCCATAATCAATACCAGCAGACAGGAGACCAGGAGACATATTGCACTGGGAAAGTCTGTAGTCAGGGACTTCTCCAAATTATTGAGGAATAATCATGTCAGTTTGAGTAAGGCACACCTGATTCAGGTCATGATCTTTTCAATCACTTGCTATGCATATGAGAGTTGGACAGTGAATAAGGATGAAAAAGGAATTGATGCCTTTTAACTGTGGTATTGGGAAAAAGGGGCTGCCAAAAAAACAAAATGTGTCTTGGAGAAGGTGCAGTCACAGTGGTCCTTGGAGGCAAAGATGAAGAAGCTTCGTCTCACATACTTTGGGCATGTTGCTAGGCAAGTTCTTCTTGGAGAGGGACATCATGCTTGGGAAAGTAGAGTGGCAGCAGAACAAAGGAAAACCCTCAACCAGATGGGTTTACTGTGACAATAGATTTGAGTGTGTCAGAGACTGTAAGGATGGCACAGGACAGGACAGTGTTCTAGAAAGGTTGTTCATAAGATCACTATGAGTCATACTCAACTCAATGGCACCTAATAACAATGTTTAACAAGTCAGAAATGGTTTCTTTAATAGGTAGTGTTAGAATTTCAACTTTAGAAAACAAATGTGTCTATCCATTCTCTTACTCATTGACTTGAAAATAAGGTTTCAAACAATACTAGTAAACTAATGTTTACTGCAGCATTATTCATGATAGTGAAAAGGTGGGTATAATACAAATGTCCATCAGCAGATAGGTGGACAAGCAAAAATGCCACATATAATAATAGACTGTTGGCCTAGTGATAAGTACTTGTGCTGCCAATACAAAGGCAAGCAGTTTGACTCCACCAGCTGCTTCATGGGGAATACATGGGTAGCCTCCTCCTGTGCAATTTACAGCCTCTGAAAACCCACCGGGCAATTATTTATGAGTGGTTCCAATTTGACAGTACATGGCAACAGATTAACATTTACTCATAAAAAGAAATGTAGTTACAATGCATACTTCAACATGAATGAATCTTGAAAACACTATGGTAAGTGAAAATAAGTCAGACACAAAAGGACAAATACTATATTATCTCATTTATCTATAATAGGCAAATGGTTACCAGAAACTATGGAAAAGAAAGAAAGGGAGTTATTATTTAAGGGATACTCAGTTATTAGCTGAGGTGATAAAAAATTTTTAAAATAGTATCGGCTGTATAGCACAGAGTAAAATTAATGTCACTTCAAAATGGTTAATATTGCAATATTTTAGTATATGCATAGTTTGCCATGATACAATTTAAAAAAGACATTACCAGAAAAATCTATAGTTATTTCAAAAGTTTAAAAAAGATATTTTTTACCTGGAGCCAACACAGCTTCCCATGACGACAAACATTAGCTCCTTGTGCTGCCACACTCAAGACATTCTGCTTCTTGATATGTAACATCTGGTAAGAAAGGGGGGAAATAAAACCCTTCAGGGAATAAATAAAGGAAACAGGACATCATGAAAACTCCATGTAAAATGGCCAGTAATAAATAAAGTGGATCTTCTTTTTTAAATTTACAAAACTGACTACATATATGAGAGCTTGCTTTTGTTTACAAAGGACCACCGAATATTTCTGATGCCCCTTTTAGATTTAGCAAAAGTATTTCATAACTGGAAAAGAAATCATTCATACTTCAAATCCTAAAGAGAAATGAAAACTGAGATGTCTTTTGTTCTCCCAGAAAAATATTTTAGCTTATTGTTACCTTTTTTCCTCCACTGAGTGTTCTAGTTCCTATTATCAGATTCCTCATGGAAAGAGCAATTCTTAACATGTAGTGATAGAGCAGACCAGAATCAGGCATACCGAGTGGCTGACCTTTATTCCATAGTTAAACAAAGAGGTAACATATGACCCTGCAATTGTACTTGTAGGCAAATACCCAAGAGAAATGTGAGGTTATGTCCACACAAAAATTTTGACACAAGTTAGTTCTGTTATTAGCAGTCTAATACATAAAAGGTGAGAAGAGGAAACAGCTCAATTGTCTATTGACTGGACTCATAAAAAGAGATTACTGAGAATGATTGAGGGGAATACTTACTGCAGCACCAAACTTCTGCTGGAACTGATCAATCACTGTGTACGTTACCTCCTCTTCTTCTACAGGAGAAGGATAGCATTAGATTAATTTACCTTCACTGGCAATATAACAGCCCTCCCACTAAAGTTGGCTGTACTCACGAATTTCTAACACTTCAACTTAAATATTTAAAATTGCTACCTGCATTACATATTGAACATATTTGGCATCATTTGTCAAGTGAGAATAAAAAGCATCAACACTGGATACTCATGAATGGACTACACATACTCCCTACTCATCAACAAGACCAGGTTCAGTACATGAAAACTCGTATGATAATAAAATAGAGAATGATTACATCAGATGACAAAATAGAAGGCAACTACGTCATTGACTGTCACAAGCTTTTCAAATGTCATCATTGTATAACTGCTACTAGACAGCAAAAGTGGACTGCAGTTGGCCATTCTGAATCAGATAATCGTATCATCTACTATGCCAGGAATGAGAAAAAGAATGGCTTTTTATTTATCATCCAAAAGCATATTTCAAGATCTATTCTGAAATAATGTACAATAGGGGGATGATCAGAACAATATTATTATAAAAGAAAAAGAAGACTTAGAGGGTGAACAAGACATACAGTCCACAAATATTAACACTATTACATACTCATTTCTGCATTATCAAGATTAATGAATATGAGTGTGTAAGTGGGTAAGCAGATAAACAGTCAAGGGCAGGTGAAAGAAACTGTACTCATGACCATACTTAGATTTGGCAGATTGTATTTTTATATTCATATTAGTTGGTTGTTGTTGTTGTTGTTATGTGCCGTCGAGTTGCCTGCGACTCATAGCAACCCTATGTACAACAGCCCTAAACTCCGCTCTGTCCTGTGCCAAT